CTCCCGGTGGTGGAGAGAACGCCGCACGCCGCACTCGACTCCCACGGTTTCCCACCGCATCCCACCGCCGCCGCCGCTCGCCCCCTGTGCACCCATCGACCCCGCGACCACCTACTTCACGTCGGGGGCGCGAGTGGAATAAAGTGCCGCCCGGAGGGATGGTAAGGCCGCGCGACGACGCAAAAGGGAGAAGAGGGAGGAGGGAAATGGGGGGAGGGCGGGGGAGGAGGAACGGTACGAAGGGATGAAAGACGGGGACTAGGAGAGAAAGTATAATCCGCAAAGTTGCAGCGATCAAACAAGCGTCGAATTTGTTTTGTTTCTCTTTTTTTTTCCTATGCGCTCGACTGTTTTTTTTTCTATATATCCTTTGACAATCCCGATCTCGCGGTCTTTTTCTTTTTCTTCGACAAGTGAAAAAGAAGATTAGATGATTGTCGGTAGTATCGAGTAATAATCGCGCATAGAGTTCGCGGCTGCAAACTCGATGTTTCCCGCGGCCGTAATGTTTCGTATCTCGCTCCGCGGGAATCGCAGCGAGGACTCTGGGACCATCCGTCATTCCGCGTGTAATTTGATTTATGTCTGTCATGGCTTGCAAACGATGTTTCTTTCATGGTTGGTGCTGTCTAACCAACTATTGGAAGCGCAGCGGCTGTTTGGACGCTCTTTGCAGTTACGTCAGGTGAGCTCCACACTTTTCGACAAAAACCATAAAATAATCGTTATATTTTGATTATATAAAATTAAGGTCAGTGTTATATGTATTTTACTCAGCTTATATTTACGTTTCAAATGTCACGTGTATAACACCATATCAGCGGTGCGATAAGAAATTAAGTAAAACATATCTAGAATTTTTGTATCCTTTTTTTTCAAGTCAAGTTCACGTCTCGATGTATTGAATTTTTAACCGATATCGTATCAGTTTTCCGCAACTGCGACGTTAAGCAATCCAAATAAGTGCTTTTTTACATCTTTAATCACTTGCGTCATGATAACGCTCACCGTCATACATTTTTCCGCTCAGTTTTTAATTGTTTTGATGAACTTTTTGATGTTAATTACCGGTTATTTTTATTTTCGTAGAATCTCTAGACCATGAATAAGTGTTAAAAAGAGTAGGCAATCATACATTTTTATTTGCATAATTGCAAACAAGTAGTCAAAATTTATGTGTTCTTTTGAAAAAAATGCATTTTCTATTAAACTATTATCAACATAAAAACAACAATTTAGGCACTTATTTAGGACATCCTAAAATATTTTTTAGAATTTTTGTTAGATTTTTTCACCACGTTTTTTTATTATAAATATTAATAATCTCTGAAAATATGGAAAAATCAAAATTTTTCGGAGATTCTCTCAGACACGTATCTTCCTATCTTTAACAGTTGATTCCCTTCCTAAGCCGATTTCTTTCGCCCCCATATTTCCATTTTTTCATCCCCTTCTAAACGCTTATTTCTCATGGAGGTTTGGGGTGTTTGTGGTCTGTCCGTGTCATTTCATGTTTGCCGCCTGCCTGATTAACGTTCCGTTTGACATCTCAATTTTATACATTGACTCAAGGTACTGTTTTTACACGCTTTGTTTCGTGCTATAACGTCTTTTAATTATTTCTGTGCTTGTAAAAGATTCCCTATGATTATTTTAATCGGCATGTATAATAAGTTGCTTCTCCGATCCGACTCAATAAATTCAGGATAGTTTTTAAGATTCCAATACTAAGTTTGAAGCCTACTTTTACGTATGGGACACAGGGACAGAAACCTACACGCAAACTCACCAATGTACCGGATCGTATTACCGTGCGATCTTACAGCGAGCAATCGATAATTGATGTAATGTATTAACAAATTTTTGTATTTTACCCACTGGGGATGGCTCAATGCAGAGCCAAAATGTTTGAGTGTAAACTAATACCTATGTTAAACATACTTTAGTATCACAGCACTAAATTCTGTGCAAGGCTTAAACTAGCACTAGGCACTAGCCCTTCCTTTGATACTTCATTAATTTTGAATTATATGAGCCATTAGGATACTAATTATTAATCAATATTTTTTTCTGTAAATCCAAATAAGTTGTTTAAATATCTCTTATAATGGTGTTTTAGAGTTTTTTGGATCACTGAATTTTAATCTGAAATGTCAAAATTTACAAATTCCAAAATGGTGGAACCGATACGATGGATCAAAAACCAAATAATAGTCTTATTACTATATTAGTTTCTAGGTATTTTAGTTACTGATCTGAATCTGTTGCTTCTTAAATAATTTATTCCTATAAATAATGAAATACTAAATTAGATCAATAATAGATCAGCTGTTGAGCCAAGTTGAGTATACGTGCTAATAATATGTGTTGACTGCGGTGGTAAACAATCTTTAATATTATATAAATAACAATACATAACTTACATTATATGTCAACGTATTCGCTCGCAAATTATATTTGTTTGATGTTTTAACAAAAATTATTACCTTGTCTAGATTTTTTGGAAAGCGTCATCCTTATTGTTAGTCCATTTGTACTAGAAACCGTGTGACTTACAGATAGATATATGTTAAAATTTCCAGAATATCCAGAAATCATGTAACTGTGGAGAAAGAGCACACCAAGCAACAATCAAGATTGAGAATAAATAATTAAATAAATACATAAA